AGTAAAATATACTCACGGTATTTAAACTGTAGTTTCAAATGTGTGCACTGGCCCTATTGTTACACTCAACAGCTCGGGTAAACATAGAATGTCCTACATATAGTTCCGCGCGTCTCTTCATTGCAAAAACGATTCAAACAACCCAATAAACACTAAATGCAATATAAATCCGTATTTTATATTAAAACATTATTTGTATCTGTATCATATCAAATGGTCTAATATAGAATGACATTCATTTTTTAGCAGGAACGTGAAAAATAATTGTGTTTCTTCCGAGTCGTTTTAGGTGAACTCCGATGAGTTATTGTTTACCTAGCAACATACAGCAGGATAGCATAGCAACGGTGTTTGGCAAATGTCAATGCTCAACGCAATATCTTGCATGAATCAGTTGAGTGTTACGGTGTGATGAAAATGTAAAGCTAATAGCATTGCAGTTAGCTGCAATCTCTCGCTATCTTACGGTGTTCAAGCTGCAGAGTGCTAAATTAGCTAGCTAAAGGTGACATCTCTTCTCCCAAAGATGTCTTTCCAGGAGACGCCTGTTCCTTCTGATGAAGAGGAGGCTTTCTACGTGCATTGCAGAGCCGCATATCTAGCTGTATTTAGATCAAGTTTGACAATATCTCTTCAAAACAGCAGTTTTCGTGGTAAGCTAACTTTATAATATTAACTATACTACTTAGCATAATGTTAGCTAGATAAACACCTCTGAAAAGGTATCAGTAGATGAAATCAAGTATTGTTTGCTCCAATTTCCAGCTGAAAGAGATAGTAGTTTTAGGGTTGATTACTCTTGTAACTCTTAAACCCAAGTGACCTGTTGGTGTATCATTCAGGAGACACAAACAGTAAAAGTGTAATTGTGTAGTTTACATTACATGTTACGACGCTTTTATCCAAAGTTGGCACGGTTGTTACATTGTGCACTAAAGAACTAATTGTGAGGGATTTTATATGTTTTGAATTGCATACATATCATTTAAAAGGAATGTCAGAAAGCTGTAAAAACATAAACAGTCTTTGTACTATTGTTGGTTGTCCTCAGCCTTTGATACTTAAGTTGTTGTTTCAATATTATTTCTAAATCCTTTTCAGCTCTTCAGCAGGCTGGTAGAAACCCAACACACGCAACTCTCAATAAATACTGGACCCCGAGAACCTCCAAACTGAACTTTGATGAATTCTTTGAGATTCTTAAAAGCGAGAAGAAAACTGAAGAAACTGAGCTAATGAGAGCCTTTAAAAAGATGGATGTTAACAGTGATGGCTACATCTCACACAGTGAACTGGAGAAAGCCCTTACCACGGTGAGTACACTCAAATATTTGAACTACTGATTGAATTGAATATATAATTAGCCAACTGAGCTAGCTCAGCAACAATTGACCCAATAATGTTTTATTTTTTATGAACTCTGCCTTACCATAAACGGCTTAAAATCTATAATTGACTCACGCTAAAATGAAAAAGAAAATGTTGTTACTACTAAAGAAAATGTGTTGAATCTTCCAGAGAGGTGAGAAAATGACCACTGAAGAGGTGAATGCTATTTTCTCAATGGCTGACATAAACAAAGACGGCAAACTGGACTATGCAGAAGTAAGTTTGAACTAGAACGTTGATTATAATGCTGTTACCACTGCTGTGTAACACAATTGTCCAATTCAGTAGTATAAGAAAAAAAAGCACAGTGTTTCCCCTATATACAAATAGCGGCGGTGCAGCTCCGCGCTCACATTTTGCTGGGCCCGCGTGCCTTAGCACCGCTGCTATGACTCCATCCTAGGGGAAACACTGAAGCAGTATAGGATTTGATCCAATATTGTCTCTATTTAGTGTCATATTGTTACCTCCATCTAAGATATACAGTATCTCTGACCCTGCATCTTACTTTAGAATGTCCTCATGTATCATCCCCTCACTTCTGGTTTCCTCTTGCTGTCAGTTCTGCAGATTGCTTGTGTCTACTGTAGAGCATAGTGTCAGAATGGCTGCTTTGGAGAGGCTCGAAGGCTAATGCCAAGCTGAAGAGACAAAACTTTGGCAGTCAGTCCATACAGCCCTCCAAAGAGCTCAGCGTCATCAGCAGCAGCAACTCTCCCTCAGCCTCCAGAAACACCCCGGGCAGAATCAGACACCACACTAAGAAAAGGTACTGGTGCTTCCCAGAATAATGTAATCGTAAAATGAACCACCACTGAAGTTGTGACAGACATGTTTTGAATAGTTTGGTATGGTGTTTTTTTTACGTTAATACATGAAGCAATTCCTTTTATACTTCTAAAAGTGATCTCTTCTTCCCGCCCAAACACTTTCACAGACACTGTTACATATTTATATCTAAGTTCTTGACATATTCAAATCTAATATCTTTATATTTAACTTCTGACTATATCTACATAGAATCCCCCTCCTGATTATAATATCAACATCCCTAATCTGGATTTCCCAACTGAATTAATGACAAAAGGTAAGGACACTACTAAAAGAACAACACATACAAAGGCAAATATTAATAATTAATATAATAAACAACATCTGTTTTTATCACTAGTAGACATTATTCTTCTCAGTGTCCAGGTATTGATCAAAGTATATCCAGCAGACTCATGGAATATCTGTAATGGTGTCGTGACTCCATAACATAATGGCGATTTGTGCGACACAATCTACAGGTCCAATGTAGCAGCCCAATGGCTAAAGCACATCATGTATACTCCAGGTCCCAATTCATAGTTGCGCACCCATACACACTGCCTGCCCCAATACGCCTCACCGATTAGATTTGATGAATAAGTAACTAGCTCTCTGTTATTGATCGATTTTTCACTCGCCCCTGTGACAAATTCACCTCATTAAGACAGTCCATACAATCATAATAGCCACACAATTAGGGCCGCTTGTTTGGAAGGAGGAGACTGTAAAGCGTTGTGATTTGGGTAATCACTTCTGCCATTAGGAGATTGACAAAAGCTCCATATGCTGATATATATGATGCCTTTCAACTATGGTTTTTGGAGTTAGAAATATTGTCCAAAAAAATAAATTGCTTAAACAAACAAGGACTTGCATCATTTCAGCTTCTCTATTCCACAACTGTTGATGATATAACCTACAGAGTGGTTTTTAAAGACAGCCCAATCAGCCAGTTTGAAGGTGTATGTAGAAGTCTGGCCTTATTGCCAGTTTTCCAGGGCAAAGGGAGGAACAGAGATTCTGGATGAGCGAGCCAGGGACAGGCCCACAGTGGGGCAAGATAGATGGGGTTGATTTAAGTTGGTCAGTCCATGTTCATGTATTGATTCGGAGGATTCCACCACTTCTCACTGGGGAGATGATGAGGGATTAGATGGTGGTCGAGAGGAGGGCCCAGTCTACCACCCGCCTGCAAAAACAAATGAGCTCCCACATAGTAGTCGGGATTATCACATTATTGTGCCTCTCCCATGTATTGATCTATACCCGCTACATTTTAACAAGGCCCCCTAACACCAGCTGCGACGTGATCGCACAAGTTGAATGGGTTATTCTTGGAGCTCAAAAAAACATTTTTGACTGTTCATTTTGCAACCAACATTTGTCAGGTATAAAACCCATAAAACATTAAGAATTGTGTTATAATATATGGAAGATGGGTTTTTGTTGGCTATTTGTTATGCAAAAAGATTAGTATACAGATTAATTGGCAGGTATAACCACATCAGGTGTAAGGTATCAAACAGGGTTTTTGGAAAACAGACAGAATAATTGGATGAATTGTCGTGGTGGTCCTCCGATAATTGGTCTGCTTTCAATATACAAGTTCAATATTTGCAGTTTTTTCAGTGGCCAGTAACCACTAGGGCTAAAACAACATACTCACATTCAGTATAAACTCACATTGAAGCTTTTGTTGGCCCATGTTTCTTTGCATCTTTGTCCACATTCACACAACAGCTACACTTTGCTCCTCTAGATTAAATACTGCCATCGATACAAAATAGAATCCATCACAAATACCATGACAGTGGGTCTATTTATTTCTCTGCTGCGATAATTTGCTTCTAAACCAATCACATTACTTCGGCTTGGAAACAATCAGACCCCTCATTAGAGAATTGATATTTTCTGGCTTCAATTAGAGTTAAGGGAAAAAGTTGTGCGAGACGGATAATGGATATGAGGCGTTGCTGTTATGCCATTTGTGATTTAAAAGGTCTCCATAATTAATTAAAAGGGATTTTCAACTTGAGATCACACCTTTTTTCACAAACTAAATGCAAAGTAGCCATCTTTACGTGAAACTTGGGACAGATTTATTTAGCATTATTTAGGGTCTTTTTTTTGCATCTGTTTTTGTGTCAGCATTTAACTATGTGAGTGTTTATGTTTGTGTGTGTCTCAGACAGCCGATCATCCTCCCGTCCTTCTTCCGCTCGCAGCAGACGGTCGTCCTTGTCAAACTCCATCACTATGACATCCAGCACAAATAAGGCCAGCAAATAGCAGAGCCTTCAGGCTTACAGGTAACCCCCCCCTTCATAGTTATAAGTATGTCTTGTATTCATGCTACAGTCCGATCTACAACCAAAGAATATCTTCATTTTAAATTCCATCCGTCAATTAAATGTAAGATTAATTGACTATCATTTTTTTTAAATGTAGCAGAAGATAGCGGTTTTGAGTTTTTGCTTAGACCCTCCAGCCTTTCTATATTTCTAAACTCGTGTTTTCCCAGCCATGAAAGACCAAATATAACAACATCTCTCTTCATGTATTGCTTTTTGTTTGTCTTTCATCCTTCAATTTGGCACAGAAAACATGTAGATATGGTGGAAAAAAGGGGTATGAAAACAGCTTTATTATTTTAAACAAAGTTATATTACTGCGTTTTTGTCAATGTGTGTTTGTGAATGACATGTGACATGTTGTGTAAGGATTAACTAGATTGTGGCACATCACTATAATAAACATGAAAAGGTTAGTATGTTGAGTCCAGTGAGAGGCCTCTATGATAGCAGGGACCATGTTACCCAGTGTTTGTGATGGGCACATTTAGCCCAGGGTGGAAAAGATATACACTGTATTGATCCCACGCTCTTTGTTTTCACTCTTTTTGGCTTAACCAACCTCGGCTGGTTTGCTTTACAGCAAGAAAAAATAATTAAATAAAAATAACAGCCTCCTGCTCCATCTCTCAGGTCCAGGCACTGTGTTGAGATTGGAAAGGGCCAGACATCACGGAGGAAAAAGAATGTGTGTCCAGAGAATACCTCTGAGGGAACTTCTGCTTTATTGGCTGCTATATTGCCACAGGCTGATAATTGGGGGGGGGGGGGGGGGGGTTTAGTGGAGGGTAGGCAGTGATTTTTTTTTTTGTGGTTGTGTATGTGTGACTTGTGGGATGCAAATCTGTCATCATGATTACACAAATAACCAGAGAGGAATATTCTTAATTCCAAGGATTTGTTTTCACAAATAGGTTAGCATTATAAAAAAGAGGAAGGTGAAAGTCATGGTTTAAATGTGAGAGTGTTTTTGTGTCTGGTTTGGTGACCCTCTGCGTCGCAGTAAATCAAAGCTGTGGCTGGAGCTGGTGACAGCGGCTGTATTAGTCTGCAGGCTGGCCCTCTCTCTATGGGGGCATTCATTCTGATGTCTTTAAGCAGTTGATGGGTGCCCATGGCAATTTCCCTCATTTAATATTGTCTGGACAAACCACTGAAGTGTTATGGTTTGATCTTTTATGCCTCAGCCCAAGATAAATACTTGAGGAATGGCTTTTCTTTAAGGGAGTGACATGCTCCGTCTTTATTTGTACTTTCTTTGTTTAACTTGGTGATTTATGTGTCCACTAAAAGGAAATACAGCCTGTTTCCACACCCATTCGGCCCTCGGTGCCCTCTTACTGTGTGTCCACACCAACTGTGTTTTCATTTAATGTGTCTCCAATGAGTGGAAGGAAAACTTCCTTGTTTTGATGTTCCTGTTCAATTTCAATTTAGTACCTCATTTCAGTTGTGCTGCCAGAGAAAGGAACAACAAGATTTCAAAATGAGAGGAATGTTAGGGTTCATAAATATTGCCAAAGTAGCCTCTTGATGGTTTGGAATGACCGTGGGCCAAAGATTGAAAAGGCTGTATTTATAAAGTTAAATGGACTCTAATTTGCCATATCAGGTCCTACAGAGAGATTTACTTCATTCTCCAGCAGAAGCACAGTGTGACACTCCTGCCCTCCTCTGGATCAGCAGGAGTATAACAAGTGTTGTGACGTGAACTGTGTTATAATGAATATGCCCCCTGAAGGTTGGAGTGGTAATTATTACAATGGCAGTTTCTGTTAATCATTGAGCAGCCTCACTGTAATGATTGACTGCTTAATTTGCTTTTTCATGCCAAAATATACTTCCCCTGTCACAAGATCAATCCCTCTTTTAATAGGAACTGCAAATTAGTTTTGGTTTCCGTTCAATGAATAGATGCATTTGGTTGTCAAGCAGCAAAAACAGTTTGTTGGGGTTTGTGTCAAGTACTAATCAGAGACCACACTAAACAAGAATATATTAGGCTACGCATAACATGAGATACTGTGTCTGTAATATACTTCAAAGGGCTTAAAAAAAACTGGGTCTGGGAAATCATTATTTTCCTACTTTACTTGCTAGAATATATTTGTTTGTTTGGATTCACTTGGGCTGTTGTTAAGCAGAAATGTGATAAATGTTTCCAGGACTGGCATCACAGTTACATGAAGGGCTGTTTCTTCCTTGAGGATGATGGGAGTATCAGCTCTCTGCAGTACCAGCTCCACCTTCCCCAGACAACCACCGTCTACCTAACCATCCAACCACTCAGCCTCAGCCATGGACTCGGTACTGCCACTGTTTTCTATCACACTTAAACAAGAACAAAATCATTAAATGGTTAAAAAGTTAATACTGTATTGTTATTAAAGATATCTTAAATGTTTCAATCAGAAAGGAATACTTAAGCCTGCATACAAGTGGCCTCTTTGTTTGTCCTATAGATTATATAAAAAGGTTTGTATATAGTTGTTTATTGATTTATTGAGTGGTTATGTTTTTCTTCAGTCCACTTAGTAGGCAAAAACGTTTTTGTGTTTTATAATCTAGTCAAAGCCTTTAAATATTGTGTTATTTTTCAGACTTGCCTTCTTCATGGATGACAGTGGACACAGCTCTTTTCGTCACGTCAGCTGGTGAAACCAAAGAGGACTCAACTTTAGTGTGTTTCACCGAGACGAAAGAGAAAGAGGTATGTTTGTGTGTGTGTGTGTGTGTGGTGTGTGTGTGTGTGTGTGTGTGTGTGTGTGTGTGTGTGTGTGTGTGTGTGTGTGTGTGTGTGTGTGTGTGTGTGTGTGTGTGTGTGTGTGTGTGTGTGTGTGTGTGTGTGTGTGTGTGTGTGTGTGTGTGTGTGTGGTGTGTGTGTGTGTGTGTGTGTGTGTGTGGTACATGGACTAAACATTTACTTATATTCATAATGACGCTTCATTCTGAGTTTGTGTGTTGAAACTTGAAACTTAGTGTGTCTAACTTTGCTACTCCTTTGTTCCCACAGAAGTATGTTTGGAAAGGAGAATTGGATGCTGGGACATACTACCTGCTTCCCTTCACTAGTGGCTGCAGACTAAAGAAAAGAAGTAAGAAAAGCCTTTCTATTAAACCTATAGAGCTCGTCTACAGGACTGACACAGGAGAACTAGACCTCACCAGGGAACTCAGGTGAGTGTTTGCGCAATCTAAAATATCAATATAAAAACACTGCCAAAGTTTGATTCCAAAATCACCAAAAATGTAAATACCTGAAAATGATCTTCAGCATAGAAGGACAAAGTTTAGTCTGTGACTTAAAGCACCCATGTTATCCAGGCCTGTAGAAAAGGTTCAGAGAGAGATACATTATTTGAGAAAATGGACAGGTGAATAATGTCGTCTGTCTGGGTGATGCAAGACATTTTTCTGTGTTTCTCCCTTGTGCCACAGGGAGGTGCTGTCGGACATCTTTGAGGTCATAGACCTGGATGGAAATGGTTTGCTTAGTTTGGAGGAGTACAATTTCTTTGAGTTGAGGACCAGTGGAGAGAAATGTGACAAGGATTCCTGGGCTGTCTGTAAAGGTAATTATTCTCAGCATGGCACTGATACACGGTATGGCCAGGGTAACGTGAAATGAACGTTAAAACGTTTATTTTGCACTTGGGCAAAAATCTCGTTATTTCTGTTGGGGCTGGCAGAGAACTTCGATATGAGGAAGAACCAGCTGACGCGCCAGGGTTTTATGGAGCTGAACCTGATGGAGGCCACAGAGAAAGATGGAGACCCCGCAGACCTGTGGGTCACTCTGGAGGCCATGGGCTACAACCGAATGCTGGAGCTAGTAGAGGCAAGTTTAAATGGCTGCTCTCGCTTAAAACAATCACAGGTTTCAATCGGTTTTGATATGAAATGACTTGATAATGTTCTAATGTGCTCTAATTCAGGGCTTACATTTGAAAGTTGTTAAGAAAATAAATGTCAACATTCAATGAGCCATTCTACACAACTAGCTGCTGAATTGATTTCCATGACCAAAGCTTCAGAGTGCAGACGCTTGATACTAGCAAAGGCAGTGGTTGTAATACGCATTCAAGATATTTTAATATTTAAGTTGTATTTTTAGATTATTATTGTCCTTTACACTATAAACATGTTGCAATTTGTTTAATATACAGATAATATACCTTTTTAAGCGCTTTGAGCACCAGGAAAAGCGCTATATAAATGTAATGTATTATTATTATTATTATTTTATTCCAAGGCTTTAAAAGACATTTGCACTACTGACTTTAAAATCAAGCCCTCTTTTTATAAGGTTGGAGTTGCTAGTTTAATCATTACATTTATCAATTTTGATTGTAATCCTTTGCTTACATTTTGTTTTGTGCTGCATTATACAATGACTTACAGTTTGTCGAAAGAAAATGAGCTTGAATTAAATTAGTAAACTTTATTTTTCTGTAGGAAAATGAATCCTTTAGTTTAACTGACTGATCAGTAAAGCTAGTTTTCACTAATGACATCGTTTTAAGTGGCATCTTTACTATATGGAGAAACACGGCCAGGCTTTTAATATCTCACTTATATCTACTCACATATTGAATCCACTATTCTACCTCCCACTCTATCAGGCATGCCCAGTCCAGTTGGATGTTCACTGTGAAGGCACTCAGCCGGCGATCCAGCCCCTCAGTTTGGACTCAGGGCCCAAGCTTCTAATCCAGGCCCTCCAGAAGTCCATCACAGCAAAGACAGGGGCCAAAGCACTGAGGGGACAAGACAACGTCTTCATCTACACTTACAGAGGAGAACACAGGATCTCCTCCCTTATAGCCAACAAGGTAGACCACACAATGTGTGTGAATATGTATTGTATGTATGTGCTTTCCATCAAAAGAAGGGGTTTGTATACATTTTGTCTACAGTGAATGGCTGCAAAGACCATTCAGGCTGTTTGTAATTGATATGCAGCCATCGTATTGATTCTCATAGCAACAGGAGCTACTCAGAAAGAATGACCTGTTGATACAGAGGAACCACTAAACTGGGGAAGTGGTTACATTTATATGCAGTTTTTCCCCTTCATGAATGTGTCGATTTGTCCATTGTTTTGTTTTATGTTTCCCCATTCCCTTACAAATCATCAACTGTGAGACTAGTAGCTTTTTAGGGTTTATGAGTGGGGAGTAGAATAGTACAATTATTTTTTCATTAAAATGTGTGTCACTCATGATCATTCACATAGATCCCCTTTTATGCAAAATCACATTTTTACTATTGATTCTTAATTATGTTTTTCAACACTATTCGTCTATCTGCCCAATTCGGCATATTCTGTGATTTCAAGCTGATCAGTGAAGTGACCTGTCCTCTTTGTTTCTCCTTGTGTTGCAGGCCAACCAAAAAGTGACTGTCCATGTAAACAATGAGCAGAGCAGGAACTGCTGCAGCAGCAGAGGCATGAGTGTGTTTGCTGTCGAGGTGCCAGCCAGGACTAAGCTGGTACAAACTCTTCCTGATATTTCTGTTGTGGTTAATATAACAAATCATTCATTACTTTACAATTGTTCCATGAAAGGAACACTGGAGAAAGTTAGAGGCATAGTTGTCTTGTTTTTTCTAGATAGTTTTTTCTAGATATACAAATCATTTATTATTTTTTATATAATCCAATGTAAAGGAATGCACATATGGTGTTTTGGATACTAATACAAAGATATTACCTGTCTTTTAGGTGTGCCAACATATCCTGCCCATTAATGAGAGACAGGAATGGACCTACAACTGTGTAGAGAGCATGCTCCCCGGCACGTAAAGCTGTATCATCAACAATCATCTATTCTACTCTAATAGCTTTGTGTTTTGTAAAGCCTTAATTGTTAGACGCCACAAGCTAAGAACTTCTGGCTTGTGGCAAAATAGTTGTTTTAGAAGCTCAGTGACTTGATAAATCCATGGTCCTAATGGCAGCAAGAGGTAGTCTCTGTATTTCATAAAGTATGGTAATAGTTTTGCAGCTATTAGAATGTGAACATGTTTCTGTTAATGAAGAGAGAAATGTAATTTACCATTATAACACAACTCTTTTATTCATAATGTATCCTTTAAATAACAGTGATTGTCATAGTGAATTCAACCACAATTAAATTGGAGATGATTTTAACAGTTTTTGAATGTTAAAGTCATGTAATCGTAGAGACACAAACAAACTTTCTACGATTTTCTTTTCTTGTGTTTTAAAAGATTGACTTTGTAAATGTATTATTTTCCTCATGTAGTTATAATTACAGTCATTAAAATATTCCTATCGTGGATTTTCCTTTACTGATATCTGTTTGTTTTCCTCTTGTAATGCAACCCTGGATTATGTTTCCTTGATACTTAGATCCCTGTGATCAGACAGGAAACGTAGATCTCTCAGCTCTATTGGATCTATCTTTTGGATAAAAAGAAACAATGGTACTTGATATGCTATTCTACAATGATGGCCGAGAATAAAAATTGTAGACATTTGATGACATAATAATAATAATAATATTAATAACTTTAATTTATATAGCGCCTTTCATCAACCCAAGGTCGCTTAAAAAAGAAACATATAAGGACAAGACATAAAACAGGTGGCAGAAATGGAAGTGTTACATTGCAGGGGGGGAAGAGTGAGTTACTGTTGGAAGGCTTTGTTGAACAGATGAGTTTTCAGGGTTGATTTGAAGATGTTCAGAGAAGGGGCGTTACGTATGGGAGCAGGGAGGGAGTTCCAGAGGGTGGGGGCAGCGACACATAACATAATATATTTGTTTCAATGGTATCTTATGTCTGACGAAAGAGACTAAACTTTGCCCTAAGACCTTATTGCACATTAAACTCTAACTATTTATCGGCTGTTGAAAAAGCAGTTAAATGGTCAAAGACATCTTTTGACCTTTTATTTAGATCAATGCATACATCATTTTTATTTTATTTTGAAATGATCAATCATGCTTTTTTTCCTTTACTTAACAGTCTGTTTCAGCCTGCATATTACTGTATAGCTTTTGGTTATTACTACTCTCCAAACTGTTAATACAGTATGGGACTCTGAGGATTTGGGGCTGGCAATGAAATGCATTCCTTTGCATTGCGCTCAGGTCTAAACTTTATTTGGCCTTTCCAGTTGAGTGCAGTCTTGACCTCCTATTTATATCTCGAAGTCCATTATTTGCCCTTTGACTTTCTCTTCTGAAACAGTAGAGCCGGCTAACTAAATGTCACATGACATATGAGATGTATTTAATGTTTGAAGCCCTGTGTGTTCTGCCTTTCCCAACACAGGTTTAGTAACACTCGACTGCTCAGGGAAGTTGGGGTTAGGGGGTTTTAACCAATATGTCATGTCTGTTGATGATTTAACTTTCTTATGAAGTGTTTTTGTATTAGAGCTTTTGTGAATAAATAAATGGTGGGAAAAAAACTTGGAAAGACGTTCCATCACATGGCATTAATATGTTGATTTACTATTGCTATAGATTAATAGAACTGATCTTTAGTTTTATGCGCCACTTATATACTTTTCTCTTAATGGTATTCAGAGATTAATATACTGTTTAAACAGCTACATATCCTGGTTGAAGAAAAACCTCCACACATAAACACACCCTCCGTTCATGATGACAGGTCTGACGATAAACTTTGTTCTGCTTATGATCAAACACAGTGAGGCAACAGGCAAACAACAGTGACCTGAAGTAGACTATTTCACAATGTAGGTCCTGAGAAATTCACCCTTTTACTTAAATAGAGTGTTGTATAATAATATATTTCTCCCTGCAAAATTGTATGGGTTCCTTTAAATCATTCAAATGTATTGACTCATTATTCATTTGACTTTTTTGCAGATTTCTTATAGTGTAAAGTTCTACAAAACATGCCTCAGAGTCATCAACCTTTCTGTATTGGAGTTGAACTCTAAGGTACAAAAGTGCACTCAAGCACTCATCCTTCATTATGAAAATGCTGTTTTTTTTCTCTGGCATTTCTTTATTAAGGTTAAGATTGCAATATCACAAAGCGAAGTAGATTGTCAGGGGCACATCAGCAGAGATGCTGTATGCTTACACAAGTCTTGAAGTTGGGGCATCTTTTTGGGAAAGGAAGGCCACAGCTACCATTGAGGACATTGTCCTGTCTTTTTAGTTGTGTGCATTTTGAATGTTGAAACCTTGAAGAACTGGAATTCTACAGTTCATCACTTACACATAAGGAGTTTACAGACTGATTCTATGACTTTTAGGGTCAATGTGTTTGCATTTTTTCCACTTTTAGGCCAATCATAATGTCCCTAATGTCATAAGCAAAAGTTTCAATATTTATCTTCAGAATGTTAAACCCTATTTTTGTAAGTTACTATGTCAACCTTAATGTTGAGAAACGTAATGTTGTTGAACCCAAAGTTAAACAGCTAACTGAATGGATGAAATAAAATGCATATCAAAAAGTCAGAAACTAATATTATCTGTATAATGTGGTGGGGTGTCAAGAGGGTACATGACCTTGATATCTCTATAATCCAGGCCCGGTAACCATACTTCAGGAATGTTATATATGTATTTAATAACATTACCAAAGTATGCTAACAACTACTGTAAACTACAATGATCAGTGCAGCCATCATGTTGTTTGGAAAATCCTGCATGGCCTCTCCTTGCCCTTTAAACGGAGAAGGCGGGTCTGTGAGGGGGGAGTTGCCCGGTGTGTACGTGTGACTGCTCAGCCACTGCAGTCGCCTTCTCATCGGGACATATTGCGGATCACACGGGGCGACCACAGGTGCTAACTGGGGGTCAACAATGGTGAAAGTAACGACAGTGAAGACCAAGCCGTATACGGACCAGAAGCCCGGGACGAGCGGCCTCAGGAAGAGGGTGACGGTGTTTCAGCAGAACCAGCACTATGCGGAAAACTTCATCCAGAGCATTATCTCTGTCATCGAGCCTGCCGAGCGCCAGGCTGCCACTGTGGTGGTGGGAGGAGATGGGAGGTTTTTCATGAAAGAAGCGATTCAGTTGATCGTTCAGATTTCTGCTGCCAACGGGGTCAGTATGAGAAGGAGTTTTGTTCACCTTGGCTGCCCCTACTGTGTGTGTGCAACGCTAGCATGCTAAGTTAGCTAAAACACCTACTGCCATACAGAGCCCGAATGAATAAGCATGTAAGCTATGGGCAGCTAGCAAGTGGACGTCAACGTAACTTGACAGGTTGCAACCGTACCTCAGTCTTCAGTACAGCTCCTATTTTATTTACTCAACTCAATTATTGAACTGTGGTATGCTGTTGGCTATTTTAGCGTGCGTTAGCTACATTACCAAGAGAGGTGGACGGACTTTTTTTGCTAATGGTACCAATGTTTGTAATGACAGTTATGCAAATGTTTCACTATATTACAATGTATCGTAATTGTCGGTGTAAGATAACGTTACTCCAGTTATGTGGTCACAGAGGTAGGGAACGTTACAACAATTCAAGATTTAGCTATGGGATCAAGTGTTACATGGTTATAAGTTGGCCTCCATGGAACTAACTAACTAATGTTGAATTATCTTGCAAATCACCCAATTCCTTGGCCCGAAAAATAAACACTGCATAGATGGCATACCTACCATAGATTTGCATGTTTTTTTCTTTTATTTTTTGCCATAATGTGACAAAATACTCATCTCATAAGGTCCAGTCTATGGACACTAGTTTGAAAAACAGGTGTCATCAACTCCCATCTGTGTTTTCCTGCACTGGCTCCGATGCCAGTCTGACCGTGTTGACCTTTTGTAGAAAGTGCATGAAGGAAGCCACTTAAATATCAAACTATTATTACCTTTGACATTTGATGCTATATAAAGTTACTGACTCTTGACGGCCACCTCTTTGCTTTTGCATTAAAACATGACTTGCAAAATGAATGAGCAACAGCATGTTTAATTGTTGTTTCAAAATGAAGCATGGCCGGTGTGTTGTTTCATAAGGAGCTGTGCAGAGATGCCACTGTCTGCCTTCACTCTGATGATGTTACTGGAACGATGTTAGCCAAGAGGGGGCGTCATTTGAAACGTTGCCCTGCAAACCTCTATAGCAATAACACAGATGGGAATAAAGTACATTGAGTACGTTTGGGTTTTATTTAAGATGTTTGCATTTTTACCATCCTATTCCTTTATCCAAAGTGTAGTACATATTATTGCGAGCATAAGGATGCTTTGTTATATTTTTACAAGACGTCTTCGCTTTCTTGAGATGGCCCCTCTCTTGTGCAGCTAATGCAAAATGAAGATTAGCAATGTTTGTCACTGAGGCCAGTAGGTTGAAGTTGCATGAAGTGGTCTGATATTTCTCCACAAGTGGTTGATGTTAGAAAATGAGGCAGTGGAGAAACTCTGATTGCCAAAGGTGCACAGACAGGAGCTCTTCTGTTTCAAATGTGTACACAAAGCAAACCTTTGTATGTTTAAATAGGGATTCCTTGACTGAGATATTTACCTTTTTTTTAAATAATCATATACAAGATATACTTATTCTCTTATTATGTAACCATAGTTTGGCCTTTCTACTATTTGCCCTAGAGTTAAGTAGTAGCTGCATCGATCATTTGAGTGAGGATTGATTAATTAATCAATCCTCACTCAAATGATCTAATGGCATCATTTAAAAAGGATTTTGACAGTGATTGCAATGACATAATTATTAAAGCTTAACAGGTTATTGTGTAAGTATGTCTATTCTAGCTTGCATGATATACAAGGAATAAGACCCTTGCATACCCAAAACTGAAACAAAAAGGGAGATGCTCAGATCAATAACTCCACAATTTAGCCATTGCTTTCCTGGTTCTCACCTGTTTGTGTATAATCTGTGTGTCCCTGTATTTTGTATTACTTTCTGCAGATTGGCCATCTGGTTATCGGTCAGGATGGCATCATGTCCACTCCAGCAGTCTCCTGTGTGATCTGCAAGGTGAAGGCAGTGGGGGGTATTATCCTCACAGCCAGTCACAACCCAGGGGGCCCAAATGGAGACTTTGGCATCAAGTACAACATCTCCAGTGGGGGTGAGTGGAGACTGCATTGTGCAGCATATACCATTTAGTTATCACATGTATTTACACACCTAAGGATCCTCTGCCTACTATGTTGCATTACAAGCATTGAGGAAAAATGCATGGAGTCTTTTAGTTTTTTTTTTAACCACAGTATATTAGTCGGTTCATCATTTCTAACCAGCTTTTTACTTTGTCCCCAGGACCTGCTCCAGAGGGCATCACAAACAAAATATATGAGATCAGCAAAACCCTGCAGGAGTATCACATCTGCCCAGAGCTGAAAGTGGATATTTCCAAGATCGGCAAACAGACTTTTGAAGTGGACACTTTCAAGCCCTTCACAGGTAAAATGACATCAAGGGCACAGTTCTTATCTCACATGAACGATTATTTATTTAATAGTTAATTCATGATCTTGCTGTCAACGTTGAAAATGAATAGCGACCTTCGATGTGGCAAATGGTATTTTGTTTTGTTTTCAGACAGCATCTTCACAACTCTTAATCATAATATGGTAATCTTCATAATGATTGAATGAAGTTGGTCAGTTGTGAAATCTAACAAAACATCCGTCATGGTTATGAGGAAAGTTACCTAGCCTGCCAAAGTCTTTATCTTGACATCTGCTGCTATCTTAATCCTAATTTGTGCTCTGTTTCCTCTTCATTTGT